TGCCTGCAGTCAAGTTAGGTTGTTTTGTTGTGCATTTGGGAGGTTTAAAGACGTTACCGTTTCTCTATTGTTACCTCCGTTCTTTGATTGGACAATTCGTCATAAATGGCCCGCAGCTGTCAGTAGCTTCAGCGGCTTTGTTGTCAGGCACTGGTATTTTGGACCAGCGGTTTGTCTGTTTGACGCCAAAATCGACGCAAATTTACCAAATCGATACAATTTGTCATCAAACATTGTGTCAGGAAAACAGGGTGAAGAAGTTTGCTGAGTTTGCCTTGAAAGTCGAAGAGAAGGAATCGACGTCCTATTCATTGTTCTTGTTGTGGAAGTAGCTACCTCGTATTCAGGTCCAGATCTCATGTTTGTCCAAAAGCTAAAGTATTCAAAGTAGAAGGAGTATTGAAAAAGAACAAGTTCCTGACTTGGATTTAAATTCTTCATCAAAAGAAGAGACCAGATTTGATTGTCTACTAGACAACTGGGCACCGACAAGCTGTGATGAGAATGCTTACACAGCTGACACAGAGCCATTGTTGTCCGCAAATTTGCACAGGAGACTGAAAGATTGATTGAGGAAGAGTTTCATAAAGGAAGACTTGGATTATTTTGATGGTGATAGCAGTGATGAAAATGAAGATGCTACTGATTGTATTAGTGGAGTCCATGCACATGGTCATGATTCACCTAATTCTGTCTAGTAATGAGGACTGCTCATTTATTGGCTTTTATTGTTCTTATTTTTCTAGCAGTCTGGATTTTCTGTTACAGACTCAGCTATGGAGATGTTACATTAATTTCTTAGTCGTTTCTTCTGGCTAGTTGTAACATTTAATGAAGACAGTTTTCTAAACTGGCAAAGCATTTGCCGAACACTTTGTACAAGCCCAAGAAACATCTTGGGCTTTTGAACAGTGATGATTTCGTCAAGTATGTTGTCTGTTCAATGTGCAAAACTTTGTATGATCAAATAAATGAAAAAGTGATAATATTTATCTGTCAATACACTTTAAATTATTGATAGTTTGCAAATCTAAACATTTTAAAAGGATAAGGTCGCGTCCTGTTACTCAATTGGTTTTTAAGGATATCTGTTTTGTTGCTCACGACTTTGTGATGGAATACTCCTGAAGACTGTTCACACTGGAACAAAGACTTTTTTGTATCAAAGGTTAGTCTATCCATGCAACTCTGTAAGAAAGTCTTTGCAACAACTGCTTAGTAGACCTGGATTTTGGGACAAGTGTCAGGAATGGAAAAAGCAGGTGTTCCTTAACTATG